ATAGATAGATAGACAGACAGACAGACAGACAGACAGACAGACAGACATACAGACAGACAGACAGACAGACAGACAGACAGACAGACAGACAGACAGACAGACAGACAGACAGACAGACAGACAGACAGACAGATAGATAGATAGATAGATAGATAGATAGATAGATAGATAGATAGATAGATAGATAGATAGATAGATAATTTACTAATCCCAGGGAGAAAATCGCGGTATCCAGTAGCATGTTCTAATTACACAGAAAAAAGAAACCCACATGAAATAATAAAAAAAGAAGCAGAATACACAAATTTGGAGAAAAAAAATAGCAATATGCACACTATCATTTAGTAATTGTTTGTTTACTTCCTGCTTTTTCGCTTTTTTTGTATTAATACATTTAAACCTTTGGTTATGTAACCCAAACACTTCAAGGAATTTACATATTTTACAGTTATATGCACATGTACACACTTATACACACATTCATATATATATATATATATATATATATATATATATATATATTTTTTTTATTGAACTATTGAACATACTGAACAAAGGAGCACAAAAACAAAATAACAAATGACAAGCTCAAATTACAATGATGCATATAAACATGTAAAAATATCTTCTGTCATACCTCCTAAGGGCCACATAAACAAATTAACATATTAACCATCATAAATTTAAATTTTGGTAATATTATTATCAGAGAATTTGCAAATAATCTGGTACAAGTAAAATCAAAAACACAGAACTATCCATATATTATATGTAAACAGTGTAAAATACACTGTGTCAAAGACTTCCTGGCTCCGTGATTGTACCGTTTTTCAGAATCATCAATCTATTATTATTATTATTATTATTATTATTATTATTATTATTATTATTATTTGGCTATGATTATTATTACTGTTATTATTATTAGAATGATAAGCTGTTAAAGTACACCCCCATCCTTTTCTGTCTTTCAGAAGAGAATTACTAGTAACACTGCTCAGTTTGGAGAATACTCCCAGGGGTTCTGATGTACTCAATGGATGGCCTGACCCAGTTCGGATCCAGTCCATGCATTTGTCTTCACAGCCCCCTCCCCGGACAGTCTCTGAGGTGTTGGTCACGTGACCGCGCGTGTCTGCAGCGCTGTCTGTTCAGCGGCGGAGAGCATCGTCCTTCTTCACTCAGAGGAGGGATGCTCACCTGTCGGATGGATGGAGTTGTTGCTGCTGCTGAACAAACACAAACCCACTGTGGACACGTGAGGAACACTTTGACATCGATACACACAGACTGCACGCGGTAAGTGACCCGAGTGTGTGAGGTCTGACCTATCAATATCTGTATTGATGAATAGGACAGTTGTTGAATAACACATTTTATTACAAATAGGAAATATTTTTAAAATAATTTTCTTTATATTATTATTATTATTATTATTATTATTAATATTATTTTATATATTTTTAACTTTTGTTCAGGGTTTTGTATAATTATCACATTTAATTGGTTTAATGTCTATCATCTATTTATCTGTCTATCCATCTATCCATCTATCTTTCTATCTATCTATCATCTATCTATCTATCTATCTATCTATCTATCTATCTATCTATCTATCTATCTATCTATCTATCTATCTATCTATCTATCTATCTATCTATCTATCTATCTATCTATCTATCTATCTATCTATCTATCTATCTATCTATCTATCTATCTATCTATCTATCTATCTATCTATC